TGAGATAACGCGATCACGAGAACGGGACGTACGGACGTACGGACGGACGTACGTACGGACGGACGTACGGACGGACGGACAACCAGAAAACATAATGCCTCCGGCTACTTTGTAGCGGAGGCATAAAAATGATTCCATCCCCATTATCAAATAACTTAACAATACCACACCCTTAAGGAGATTAAATGATATTTTTTTTTATCACCCTTGTTATATTATATGGTTTATGTAGAAGTTCCACACTCTTGTGAGACCAGGAAGGGGATTTCCCCAAAGTGGTAATACAAAGACAGACTGCAATCATTGCCCAAGCTGCTTATTGATTATATTGTTCATATTTGTACTTTCATACACTATGAACCTATTATCGTTTGTATCTTTGTGTTATTATCTATATATAATATATAAGAATTGTATTCAGGAGTCATGCATTGCTATTCGTAATTTTTATGTTTGTTTGTACTCTCATAGTCCGAGAGGGGTCAAAGAGTAAAATTCTAATTCTAATTCTAATCTACCTACATGAAAAATGCAATATGATGAGATTTAGATAAATATAAAGTAATACATAGCTTTACTATTATTAGATTTAGTTTCTATTTACAAAGATTGTTAATTACCTTCTTTTTACTAGTTTTTTCTTTTAAATATAACTCTTGGAAACAAAATAAGCCTAGTACCTTCCATAAAGTTTTTTCTTTCACTTTCTCTTCTGTCTCTCTCTACATAATAAAATCTATAACATAAAAAACAACATTTCTGAGATCCTTCTAATAAGTTTTGAATAACACTTCTGCATTATCGAATGATATCTATATTCATATCCCATTCAATACCTCCTGATTTAATTTAACATAAATCCACATCAGACTTACTGAAGGTCAGGTAAAAGAAAATGATGCATCATGAAATAAGAATCAAGTTTAGATGACTTAAAAGTAGGCTAAATCAAATAAATCAAATAAGTTTCAAATTTACAAGAAGTTTAATCACTTGCCCTATTTTCTGAGATATCAATGAAATTATATATACAAGACGACTAACTGCCTGAATAGTGAGTTTCGGCAATATTGTATTTAACCATAAATCAATGATTTGATTGCTTACATTTATTTCTTAATTACTTCTGTATCAACACTGACGCATACTTGACGATGTGAATTAAAATTATTGTTCCTCTTACAACTCTGTTAAGAGTCAAAAGGGTGTCGACTCTTGTACCCTGACAAAAAGTTACACCCTTCAAAACAGATATGTCATTTCTCACAGTGTGTTTAGAATTTCCAATCATTTCCCCTTGCTAGAAATTATAACCCTAAAAAAAAACAGCAAATAAATCATAATATCAAGCTTACCATCCCTAATAAAAAGTATACAGCAAATATATGATATATCATTTATAACTGAACTGATATTGTAACTGCAGGGCAAGTTTAATACCTGTAATATGATATTATTTTTTTTAATAATAAATAAAACAAAACATTAGCCATGCCATGCCCTGTCTACATAACTGTCAATATTGACTAAAAAGATTTTTATTACATTTCCCAATACAGATCAGTCTTTTCTGTGACTCAAAAGAAAACCACTTGGCCTTGCACAGACTATTTAAAACACAAAGTCCTGTTATTAATTCAAGGACTGGTTCTAAAACTATCCTCCAAAACAGCACACCACACCATATTTAGTTAGATGGAAGCTAATCAAATGATGATGAAAATAAAAGGGATATTTTGCAATGTACATGTTTGCTGTCTACAATTTCCATGACCCTTGTAAAAATGAAAAGGCTATACATGTATACATTTCTTTTCAATTTTTCGGGGGTATTTTAGGAGTATTCAAATTAGACTAGCAGTATTATACACTGAAAAAGTCTTTGAAAACAACTTTTAATTTGATAATCCCATTAAATTTAAGAAAGAAATAACAAAAATGTTCAATTCCATTAATTTAATATTCTTATTAAATCAATATACAATTAGCATTGTGTTTTTTAAAAACTAAATTGGCATATTTTGTATGCAATTATAATGGTATGAATATCCATAAAATGTAATATGCACACATTGAATATATGAAAAAAGCAACTCAAAGTTTTACTGTTCAACTCCATAGTGTGTTAATTTTCCTAATAAATCAATACCCAATTACAGTTGTGTATTTGAAACTAAATTGGTATAATTTTGATGCAATTATATTTACGACCTGGGCTGGTAGAGTAGCAAGAATATACACAAATGGGATGACAACATAGAATTCCATACAGTGGTATTGTGATGTGTGTCACACACACACACCAAAAATCCTCATTTCTACGTAAATTCAACTCATTTACGTCATTGTAGCTCTATAGAAATAGTTCAGTCCATGCTTGGGTGATAGAACTCAAAAGCCCCCTAGAGCTATCAAATCTAACCCGGACTACGGTGAATAGATTTGATTTGGAAGGGTCACAATGGAATAATGAGATATTTTTGGATGCTTTGATCGGGCACTCATGGGCTTGACAACTCTGTAAAATATCCCACGCTAAGAGTTCCATGTGCATAGCCTCAATAGGGGAAAGAGAGCCAGAATTGTGGACTATTGCTTTCTGCTTTTTCATCATCTCTTCTACTTAATAATTTTATGAATCTCTAATTTCTTATACATCTTTCTCACAAATCTACAGTAAACAGCTTTTGTAATCACTCTTTGAATTGGGATTGAGACTACTTTCCTGACCTGCATTGACCTTCCATAAATACAACCATATACATAATGGCTCACACAAATATGACCTATGAAACTAAAACCAAGCACACAGTTCACCCCATCATGTATGAAAGAGCTTCAAAGAATGAAAATTGTATAAAAAGAACATCAACTCACCCACATGACTAAAAGTTTGCTGCTTTTCACAGCACAAATTACAACAACAAGAATTGATATACAAAGGAGGTAGACTGGGTAGACTGATAAGTCTAGCTTTGGAAGTCCATGAAGCAAATTCTAGGAATGCTGTTTGGGTGCTTAGAGACCACAGGCACGTCTGTTGCCAACTTGAATCACTTCAAAGAAAACACTGAAAGTAATTAAACGTTTCTTCTGAATTTCTGTCTTTGTTTGGAATCAAAGATGAACTGCCACACTGCAGAATCCTCTAACACAGAGATCAAGCATCTTCCAATTCCTGAGGTATGGTATACACTTCTGCAAGATGGGAGAGGACATCAAATTGCCCCTTTTCCAATGATTTTGTTGGGTGCAGATAAGCGATAGATGCTTAGAAAGATAACCAGCTAAGAAAATATTTGCTCAAACATCCCTGAATTGTTTGGTGCCAAAGACCGTATTTGTACAAGGTTATGTACCTGTTAGTACAGAATCCATAGGTATTCATTACAAAAATGGTTTATACAATAGGGATCTGGCTCCTTTCCAGCTCTCTATTTTGAATACAGCACCTCCGAAACAAGGTTTCTAGCTCTCTTTCAGCAGCAAAACAGAATAAAGCACATGCATCAGAAGCTGTATAAGATGAAACAATTAGGTCAAAGCGAAAGAGATGCAAACCTCACTCAGGAATCAATCTGGCTGGGTAATGATTTGGGCATCATTTGAGTTAGGACAGGCACCATATCGCGTGCTTTAGTCATGAATAGGTGTGCATGGTCTACTGAACAACCTCTGTTGAGCGCCCAAACAAGATTTCAAGTCAAGAAGTCCAAAAGTCCACAAACACAGACACAAACTGATGTCATGAAGGCAAACAATGTCGATGTGGTATCATCACGGACGAAAGAGACAAGTAGATCATCAAGATTCAGACAGATTAAATCACTAATGATTCATCATTGACTTCTCTTTTCATTTGTAGTCATTACTTCGTAGAGTTGAGCCATAAAGTCAAAGCCAGGGTTCATGATTCTAGGTACAGGGAAATGGTTCTCACCTTTTTTTAAACACGGATTTCTAGGTAAAATTTGGTGCTGAGAACAATGGCACCGCTGATTTAAAAAAATAGTTTTTATGCATTCAAGAACAAAAATGTTGACTAAAAATGTTTGTTTGGTGTAAAAAAAAAATAATATAAACAATACAATAAAAAAATGGTATAGGTTAAGACCCACAGAAGACCGAAGGGGCCTGGAAGTTGGTCTAAAAGGGCCCAAACAATCAGCTACTCCAGACTATCAAGAGGACTGCATAAGGATGTCTGCATCCTACATGGATTATTAGAAGCCTGTTTTTACATGTCCCCCCTATTATGATATAGATACCTAGAATATACAAACTCAATCTCAACAACAAATTTACCTGGCATTCTATAGGTTAACGGTAACGCATGGAACCTACATCGGACTCAGGTTCTGTGTGTGCCCTATTCTATGGAAGCGAGTGACATTGAGCCCCTTACATCAAGAACAAACCATGTTTTGGTGTTTGACACATTCTAATATTCCTGAAGAAATTTTTGTGTCAAAATTTATGAGGACAAAATCAAACCAATGAAAAAAAATTCAACCACAAATTCTTCAAAGTAATTATGTTTAGCCAAGGGCTAAATCCTGGTTTGGATAAGATGGGATAGGGTGGAAGGGTAGGAGAGAGATGTAATGTATAAAGCCAACCACAAATTTCTGGCTTACAAATGGAGAGAGAGAGAGGGGAGGGAGAGAGAAAGTGAGATAGAGAGAGAGAGAGAGGGAGAGAGACAGATGTAGAGAGAGGCTTTCAGAAGATTAGATTGGACTAATTTTCTTTCAGCTTATTCAAAATGATTCAAAGTGTAAGAACCCCAAAACCAAACCGTCATCATATGCTTAGCAATGCACACCATAACAAAACTAATCAGAATTTCAGTGATCTCAATTTAGGAAACAAAACTAAAAAACAGTTATTTTTCCTAAGAAATAAAGTGAGTAGAACAGAAATGATATGAAGGGTGATCATTCATGCTATGAAGTACCGGTATGTGACAAAATGGATTTTTGAAATGTGACTAAACTTACCAGAACTGCTGGGCAGATAGCCGTAGGAGGTAGAATGTGGTCTCGGAATTCTCCCATGTTACACTCTGGTTTGACGTGGGAGGCACATTTGTTATGGAGCTGATATTTTGGAACAATAAGGGAGAGAGAGAGGGAGAGAGGGAAAGATGGAGGAGAAAGAGGGAAGTAAAGAAAGAGAGAGAGAGAGAGAGAGAGAGGAAACAGATACGTTTACTGTGAGAAGTACACATATAATGTATCTCACACATATTCTTCATGCAATTCTTTAAAAAGTATCACGCATCAGTTCTGATTGACTCTTTGCTTTCATATATAAGCCAATCTATTGGCTCTTGGCCAATTGCCTTTTATCATGATTCATATGGCTATTCTCTAGTATTAACTTGTGTTAAATCATAAATTGCACTTTAAGATACTTGTTGATTCGAGAGTAGAAACAGAAACTGTGGTTATGCACTTCACAGAAATATAAAACCAAGTCATATTTCATTAAAACAAATAACCAGTTAACACAAGCATTACATTTCCACCTAATTATTTATTGAAGTCAATTCATCCTTTCCCAATATAGCTGCAAACTTTAGACTGATCATTCAACACTACAACTCATTAAAGTTGGTTGAATAGTACACTATCAGGCATTAATTTTTAAAGAATGTTTTAAGAATCAATTAGATATGTGAACAGCCCATTGGGAAGAGATTATTAGGGGAAATAGAGATGAAGTGCGTATCCATATCAACTGCTGAGAGCAAGAAGATGTTAACTCTGTGTCTTAAAAGTGAATGTGTCAATGTCCTTATGGTTCCTAGCCAACAATATAGAACATTACAATATCTTTACCTTATATAGCAAATAAGGCGAGTGGTAGAATCCATTTCTATTTACGATTTCATTTCCTCAATTTTTCATCCATAATCAATCTTGTAATAATCACGATATGAAGCTTCAAATGAAGTTTTTACGACTATGTATTACAAATGACATTGGCGTCCATATTGAAGGCACGGGATGCCTAATATTCGTAAAGAGCTAACATAATAATAGTGATTGTGTACGTGCTTCATACGACATTTCTAAGCACTTGACATGTAATGACTATTACTCAAGTCACTAGATTCAATGTAAGCTCCTCTACACATAGTGCAGCAGACTCTCCACTCCACTCGGGAGCAGTCTCTTCCAACACCTGGGTGGAGAGAAGCAATCAAGATAAAATGCCTTGCCTTTGGACATACATGTGCACGTGTTGTGGGGGTGGGACATGGATAAAAGAAGAAAAAGAAGAAAAAAGAGAGAGAGTTTTGTGTCTCACCGTTATCTTGCACCATCTGCAGTGAAGGCCAGTAATACCGTTGTAGCTCTTAATCGACTTCTTACACCGGTCACATTTACCCGGGCTGTTACCTTCTACCCAGTGATGGTTCATGATCTGTCAAAAAGACGTAAGAGCCAGCATGGGTGATTATGAGAAACAATATAAGGTCATAAAGAAGCTGTTAAAATAGTAGAGGTTTGACTGAAATAGGAGTAATTGCAAAGAAATGCATAGAAAAAGATAAGACATTAAAGAAAGATAAATACATGCCTGTTTACAATCCTTCAACAAAGGTAACAATGTTTAGAGACCATTGGGTCCATATACTCAAAAACCTGACAGAATAACCAAACACTCATTAAATTGAGTGAAACATTTCTAGCTGTCTTTTGGAGAACTGCTACTGAGTCTTGGGATGGTTACTACCAAAGGAAGGTATAGTTAAATTATGATCGACAATTCCAACAGGTTATATACAATATAAAATGCACACTTTATTATTTTAAAACCCTTTTTTCTTTTTGAATCATTGAAACATAACACTAACTTCACCTGACTTGATCAACATCTTTGAAAACATCTTCCCCCTCCAAATACTCAAAATGATTCAATAATATAAACGCAATGGTATTCATTTTGTATTCGCATCACAATGCTTAACATAGAGAAAACAGACAGAAGTTTACATTGGAAAGACAATTTAAATAAAAAGAACATACAGTACATTAAACAAAGATAAATAGATATAAGCTAGAACACAATACATGTAGAAACAGTAATGATGCATGCATCACTTTTTAAAGACAGAATTTCTAGCAATGACTACAATTCTGGCCAACTAATCAATAAAACAGGAATAAATACTGGTGAAAGTTTGTAGTGAAGCAGGAGTACTTCACATGAACACAATGTGAGATAAAAGGTCCTAATTTCCATAAAACCTAGAAAATTTGATAATTTCCCAGTTTCTTTTCTATCTGGTAAATATCCTTGGTTTTCCCCCTCTCATAAATCTTGAAAAAGGGGCTTGATCCTTTGTCAGTACCTAAAAAACAGCAAAGTACATGTTCTGCCCCCCCCCCCAAAAAAACCCCTCTTGATAACAATAATAAAAACAGATGACTCTTCCACTTCACAATGACCTCATGATCATCGTGTAGTAGTTTTAAGGGCTCTTCTTCTGCTTCTATACTTCAAACAATGATATAGCTCATTTCCTTAATGTACAAAGTACAAACAAAACTTAGGATAGTGAAAGTAGTTTTCACTCTCATGTTTGAGATCTATTCACAGTAAGGGAACGGGGGAATTCCCAGGACTAAACTATTCTTTCTCTTTAATGAGCTGATTTTGCACACAAGAGGGAGCCTATCCTTTTTACAGTACTGCTTGAATTAAGTTTTACATACTGTATGTATGAACTATACTCAATTTAATATTTAGAATTGAAAGAAAGAAAACAAATGAAAATTGAAATAGAAATTGAAATAGAAATTTAAAGAAAAAAATGAAATTGAAAATTGAAACGATACAATTTGTAGCACCATGAAAAGAGCATATACTGCCTTGACATTTAAAACAAAGTGTTGAAGGGTTTATCAGGATATCAAAGTTGGAATATCAGAGAACATAAATTATCTTTCTAAAATATAAAGCAGTTGGACATTGTTTTTCTAAACCAGGCTTTTGCACTGGGTGTACACAATTCAATTCACTCAATGCTCTAGCTCTTTTTTTAAACCCCATTCACATGATTTGATGTTTTTAAAACACATTTTCCCATTGTGTACAGTATAAGTTATCTCAGGTTAACAGTTCAATTCTGGAACAGCTGAAGTCCATAAATGGAACAAATGGTGTATATTCAGTCAACCTTTGTCACATGTTCACTGTGTATGTACCTTGTACACTAAACAATATGGCAAATAAGAATTTAATGCCTTTTCAATATACAAGACTTAGGTACGATCAAACACTCGCTAAGTGTTTTGTACCAATTTTTAGAGACAATATTGAAGCTAGGAAACATGACACACAAAAAAGAAAAATACTGTGGTGTACACGGCGAAAGGGCTTTAGCAGGGGCATTGTTGTGGACTAATCTATTAAGAAAAAAACCCTGTCAAATCCTTCTGCAAAGCTCAAAAGTATATACTGACATCACTGTTATTTTGACATGCATAGGGTAGCATGCTGCTATCACTTTGGTTATTACATATATCATGTGCTGACAGACAGAAGGACGTTAACTCACTTTGACACAGAGTTAACGCCCCTATGGCTCTCAACAGACAACCATCTTCATGATGACAGCAATAATTTATTTAAAAAAAGAATGTGCTGTCGTGCACAAAGAGGCCCAAACTATACTGGCTTAAACCTTGAAACACTGGTGGCAAAAGCCAATACTTTTATTTTGCCAGTTCTCAGCATGCAACACACAGAAATATCAAACAACAAAAATACAAAATCAACAATGCAAATATAGAATACACAACAGGAATACTCCTAAAATACCCTAATAACGAATGTACATACAAATACCACACATTAGATATCTTCCCTTCTTAACTGTCCAAACAAAATGTCTTGGACAGTATTGGGATTCACTAGCCCATGCAACTTCCACTTATTTTTTTCCACACAAAAGCTCAATCTTGTACATATATTTCACAAAATAAAACACAAGAAAATGACTAAACTTTTGAAAATATATGACCTTGTGGTATTGAAAATATAAAGAATGGCAAACAGATCACAAAGGTACATGATTTTATTCTGACTTTTTTTAATCTGGTAAAATATTAAAAATAATCATCACATGTATTTAATTTCAAGAACTTCTTTTCCATATTTTTTTTCCTAAGACAGCCAATTGTTAGAATTGATGAATATTTTGTCTTGTACCTGTATCACATTAATACAAACCTTGCTAAATCAATAACATCAGATCCTACTGCACAAGAAAATTATACATCAAATTAATTTATTTCATAGTTTCATTTAAAAATTACACTTCAACAGGACAATTTCATTTACTACATGAGTGTGAAAAAGAAGTGCAAGCAATTCTAAAGCATAATGAGGAAGGCTCTCTAATTTTATCACTGGGTACACCTGTACAAAAACACAACAAACTCCAAACAGACCTTCACGAAACATCGAGATATCTGAAACAAATGTTGACCTACCGGAACTTCTCCCCAAACCTCGGCGTCCTTGCGTGACAGATTTTTGGGTTGCTATATTAGAATATGAGTAGCAGAGAGCAGTGTGAGAGAAGTGATTGGGAAGGGAAATGAGAGAAAAAGAAGAATGAAAGGAGGAAAAATAGAGGGATGGGAAACAAAACAAAAAGATGAAGAGTGCATGAAAAGATCAACTACAGAATGATGTACTGGCTTCAAAGCTAGATTTTTTTAAAGCTGTTTTCTAAAAAAAAAAATCCTCAAGCTGATTTAAGAATATTCATTGAAGCTTAATGAAATGTTCCACTGTAATTGTCATCTAGTAGCAAGCTACCTGTTAAGCTTTCATTTTGTTCCTTATATGGAATAGTTTAGAGTTTTTAAAAAAACTAAAAAATCATGGTTTCTCTATACTTTTATAAACACTTTTCAGTTTCACATAAATTTCACATAAAAAGTTACATTAGAAAATGGAAATTATTTGAAAATACCAATCTTCAGAGCATATAATTTGTAGGCCAGATTTCTTTTTTAAATCACTGTGAATCTTGGCTTCATCTTTGGTAGCATACCAAAGCTATTCATTTGCAATTACATGAATAACTATAAATTAATATGTTACACATTTACAAATTAGATTTTTTGGGGGCCAAAAGGAAGTGTTTTTTTTTCTCCATTATAACACTGAATTTATTTGTTCTTGACATGAAATAAAAATAAAAATAGTTTTCCACATATCAACTGAACTTAAAACAGTTAATTATATCAGATGAAAATCAAGTTATCAACATCTAACAAAGCATTAATACGCAGAATATTAACTATCAAGCAAGAAATAAAGAGCACAATAAATACAATGTTAGAATAAGGCAAGTGCAATAATTATAATGATGTCTAGATTTGTGCATCATCAGTTGAAACCCCAAAGGGCACCGTCTTGACGAACCCTATCAAATATTCATAAGCTGAATGTCCTTTTGCTTCTGAACTAATGCAAATTTATGCAAATTTGTCGTCTGTTCGGAGCCAATAGGGTGTTACCTGGCTCCAAACAGACAATGCGTTAATGCATATTAGTGCTTAATACAGTTTTAGTGAAGTATGGTGGAGGGGAATAACAAAGGGAAAAAGAGTTCAGATATTTTTTGTTTTCTTGTTTGATGAAATAATAACATGATATGGTACAATATGATTCTGACGAGACAATAAAGACAAACAAACAATGAATGAATGAGTAAATAGATAAGCATGCAGATTAAAGGCAGCAGAAAAGATCACCATGTTAGAAACACAAATAATAATGGGTTAATTACCATGCAATCTTGTGCAATAACAATACGTAGAGATGATGGCCAAAATCCGTGACATGAAGACGAATGGGTGGGACTGTGATATAAATGGCAGTAGGGTGCATGTATATAAAAAATATTCATAAACAAATAAAAAACAAATAAACAAAATTATAAGGATTTTAATATGTGTACTTAGACAAAACATAGAAGCAGTAATATATATGCTGACGAGGAAATTTTGATTCATTAAAAAATATTCTGAATTAGTCAGTGGTGGGGTCAGTATTGTGTTGCAGTTGAAACAGTTGCTAGAGGGGGAGGGGGGGGGGGGTGAGTTATCTTCATAGAAACGCCAGTAAAACATTTTGTCATTCACATGTCTCCTTTTTAATCTCATGCTCCATGCTCATTCTGCATTTGTATTGATGATGCTGTTGTATAAAGCATTTGCATTATTTCTAATCAGAGGAGACTTAAAAGTTAGTGCAGCGTACATCACAAAAGCAGCAAGTTCAGTTAGTTGGATTAGATTTGCTACTAGTTTCATACCTAAATCCCAACTCTTTTTTGTAATTGTTGCTTTAATCCCAGAATTATAGTAAAATGTATTCATTTCGGTTTCCTACATGCCAAAATGTCTGATCTTTTACTGGAATAGTATTGGGGGGAAAATGAATATCTTAGATATGAAAATGTTGTCATCAATATCTTGATGGTTGGCATATTTAAAGCCCTGGACATGTTTTCGGTAATCAGGATGACAGTGTCCAATCAACTAAAGTTAATAATGATACTTGTTAGGCTTCCCATTCCTTTAACAAAAATTAAAATCGAAGAGGATTCATCATTAGCAGTGTGGTGATAACTTTCTTTCAATGAAATATCAGTCCCTCACCTCCTTTCTCACCTTCATTAATATTTTTCACAAATATTACTTTAACAAAAAGGTTTGATTAAAATTTGTTCATACATTAATACTACATATATATACAGCATGTTAGGCACTAATGGGATGAATTTGTCATTTTTAGAGAGCTATTTTTTCCCATTAAATTAACACTCTTTTCTAATCTCTCATGTGACAACAAGTATGACAATTGATTACATGATCATATTATTCTGTAGCAGGATACAATTGATGGCATATTCTTTTGAGATGTTAGTATGAGGATCTAAAAAACACAAACTACCTTTCCTAGTATGCTGCCACGATACTGTTTTTGGGGTGGAGGAAAAGAGTGCATGCAAGAAAACAACAGTCATGAGAGTAGAATAAAAATCTCTTACATTGGAATACATGGGTAATCTAAAGGTTTAGTCAAAGTTGAACTTTTAAATCGTTATCAGGTGCATATTCTACCTATAAAGTATATCAAGAACTTTATATTTTCAAAAGAATCCAAATAATGTTTTGAGATAAAATAACATTTATGAAGTAAAATGAAAACAACAAACCCATTCACCATTTAAAATAAGGTATTGTGAGGGAGGGAAGCAAAGTAAGAAGTTGGGTGAAGAAGAAAGAGTAAGAGGGAGAGAGATGGGTGGAAAGATGGACGAGCATATTTGGGTTCATATCTTTTGAATTTAATTTGGTCACACTGCACATTCAATATAAAAAGGTAAATCCTCTTTAATTACATTCCATATTATAGAAAACATAAAAAAGGAGCTTCATCTCAGCCAACATACAAAAAAACATTCCAAGAAATTCCAATTCACATCAGTCAAGTTGAAACATTATCCTAGCTCCTTGGGAAAAAAACACAGTGACAGCAAACAAAGAAAAGAGGAAAAATCATGCAAAACTGATCCTTATTCATTTTGTCATCAAAACTAACTTTAGAACCTTTATCAACCTATGAAGAAGAGATCTCCATATATATATATAGATTTCATCACAATCGAATTGACTACACTGTCTAAAAAAAAAAAAGGAATAATGTCTTCACGGCCTTGTTCAGATATGATGTGGCAAAACGCTGTGTTTTTTATGATGACATAAAGTGTAATAGCATAACGTGTCTTTATCTTATACCACAGAGCTCAGTGAATCATGCAGGACCTTTGTTGCACAGTTGCCATTCATTTACACGTTTAAAGAAAAAGCGGCGTTTTTTTGAGCATCGTATCTGAACGAGCCTTAAATCTAGACTGCACTACTTGTATCTACTTGCGCCTCTATATAGCCAGCAATGCCTCAGCGGTGCCTGTTGGTCCCCCATGATCCCCTTTTTCTTATGTTAAAATTGAGAGCTGATTTGATGAGATAACCACCTGCCAGTGACCATGCAGGGAGGTCTAATCTCTCCTGGCAAAACTAGTGCAGATAGGATTTAAGAGACAGTTGGACACTGCTTCAACCTCAACCAGTAATATGAAATCTTATCTTAACTGAACAACATTATTCTTCATTGTTTGCATAGATGCAGATGGTACATCATGATCACACAGTGACATACATGTACACATGTGAAATACAAGGTATTCATGCAGATGGGAAGAGGTGGTGGGTGGTAATGTCAAACATTTAGACACATATCAACCACTAAGTTCAGGTTTATTATAAGGGAAAAAGAAAGAAACAAGCATTCTTAGTACATGCCTTGTATTTTTCAGCAGATAACACACTAGAATTCCATCAATCAAGTTTTTGTTCATGCTCACAATCTTTAGATACATTTTCCTTCTACAGTATTAAAAGTGTAATTTCTAGGAGAAAGTAATATATCGTTGGTTTGGAGCCAGAAGGGCATTAACTCTATGTAAAATGATGAGTTAACTATCTTCTGGCTCCAAACAAAAGTACCAAGTTCTGTCCTTTTAAAACACATTTCAGCACAGTATGCAAATGAAAATGAATTTGGCTGAAAACTGGACATTAATATAACTTTGTATAAGGTTTCGAACACATTGCAAGTTTGCTCTATGTAAAAAGATTCATTTCAAATAAATTATACCCTTAACAGCTTTACATTTTTATCTTTGACTCAAGTTTGAATTGGGAAAGAACATTCACTGCATTTATCATCATGAAATATCATCTGTATGTTAAATAGTATGTTTTATCTCAATATAATTATTTTTTTACCTCTGATATTTTCAGGTGAAAATTTTGAAGGTAAGATACTTTTGTACTGAAATCAAAAGTTTTGCTCTCAAACATCAATGTCTTTAATTGAAGGATATTACAGTGAATTCATGGTAATAATTATCTTGTGAGCAAATCAATGTACAATATACTTCACTCTGAGCATGCAACACACTAAACATGGCATGCATTGATCAGGTTACATGTAGTGAAACAAGTGCATAACACACAAAGTACAATGATTCCTATAAAACAGAACATCATTGAAGAACACCTGTAAATTACTATTCAATTGAAAAAAAGTAGAAAAGTTATATGTGAATGTAAACAATGTGTAAAAAAAGGGTGTCTTGATTCCACTTATATACAGTATAAAAAATAAACTGCGGTTGTTAGGAGGAAGAACTCAGTAGGCTAATTAAGATATACTTTAAATTTCACATCAAGTAACCTGAATATTATCATCGTATTTGCTATCATGCACGCATCACTATTGATTGGTTTTTTAAAATGATTTGTGTATATTTTACTTTAAAAAATGTTTTGTTAATGTACAGAATCACATTTTGTATTTGTAACATAGGAAGACATATCTAAATAATCAAACGATATGAATGATTCTCCTTTTTCATATCTAGGGTGTCTTGACACCCCACTCCCCTCCCCCCCCCCCCCCCAAAAAAAAAATGAATATTCTCACCCCCCCCCCCTTTAATCATACAATTTTTGTTATATCCCAGGTCTCTTTAAGTATACTTACATTCGTTGTCCGTTTTGACTTGACATATGTACTAATGCAACAGGCTGGGGCACGTTGTACACAGCGTTCATGAACCGTGTATTTGCAGACTGTGACGATAAGAACAAAAAACAAAATACATAGGTATTCATGACAAAAAATGAACTGATTTCCTTTTACAATGGAGAGGTTTCAATTGAATTTGTATTTAATTCTTTCTAATTACACAACAATTTCATTGTTGTCATTTTACTTAAAGGCCTTCAGCAAGGATCCTGCTTAGGTACATATCTTTTCATTGTCCATTTCTATCTTGCCCCTAACAAATAAATGAATGACAATGGTGTTTCAAAATTTTCAGCAAGTCAATTCAATTCCTGATAGTTTATTGCATTAGGAATTGATCTTTGAATGCATTTCTTCTCGGCACAGAACAAGATATGCATCATCATTATTTTCACTCCTCTTCTTATTCCTTATTTGGTTTAGAGATGAAATTACTTACTTACTTTTAAATAATACACAATGTTTTCAAAATTGTATTGTAAACTGATGAAGATGATGGTGGCTTTGTCATGCTCCATAGCCAAGCTCTATTAATTATCTTGGGTACCCATTTACACCCAAGTGGAGAGAGGCAAACTTGACTTGCCAAAGACATTAGTGCGGGCTGAAACCTGTCCATAAGTACCACCTGCCTATTAAGACCACTTTTCTTTTCTCCCCTGAGCGGTCTTTATGGACAGGTTTCACTATACTTACATGTACATGATAGACCTTGTTTTCCAAACCCTACAAGGAGATTGAGGCAGAGGTTACAATAGGCTGGTTTGTTGTAGTGTTTTAACCTCCATACATGACTGCCATCATCTTTCACATTCTATAGGAATGAAGAGAGAAGGGGTCAAAGGTTAAAGGTGATGTCAACCTAGTCAAACAGCAAATGAAAGGCCATATCTATAAAATACCTATTTCAATTAAAACTTACTATTAGTCAGGAAAAGAATTAATTAATGCAAATTGGCAGAAAATATAACGACAAAAAAATGTTTAGAGGTTATCAATCTGCTTTAACAGCAAGAAATAGGTGGATGGATTTCCTATTTTCAATTCCTCTTCTTATTGTAAACTTTATCATAAAGGCCTGTGCTTTCCAAAAAGTAAGAAAACAGAATTTATTAAACACACATATTTAAGGATCCCAATAATTCATTAAATTTCAAAGCTACAAAATCCCAAATATGTCTGGAGTTTCCATTGGGGATATAATGTTACCTTGTTGCAAGGGTTTGAAACACATTTTTAGAGAATTTTTTTCAGGGTATTTATGAATGGCTGACACTGATGTTATGGGTAGTATTCTATACTTGCAGTGATATTGAAAGACAGAATATCTCATATAAAAAATATCTAAGAGTTTAATATGCAACATACAGGGATTCCCCATGCTTGCGACTGGATACTTACTGATTCAAGGCCAAGGAGAACTAAGAGAGGAATGGTTGTCATGCCGCCACGTATCCATTCTTCTAACGATACGGTCCCATCTGAATCAAAGTCAATCTCTATCATCATATCTTGTAAGATCTAATTGGAGAAAAAAATAACATGAATATTAGATAAAAACATGAAATCATTACATAAACATTAAATTGAATAAAAATATGAATACATTATACAGAAATAGGGATAATATAGGAGGAAAAAGAAGACACATATATGTTGGAGATGTGGGCGTACTGTATAAAATAATGTTTGTTTGTCATTGATTTTATTTTCCCCACAATAATATTTTTAAATGGGTCACAAGTCCTACTTCACCACTAAATCTAATTCAAGCACGTACCAAAAGTGTGATTTTTCCCAAAGGATGATACTCAGACTTTTCACTTATTTTATTCAAGGTGCAAAAAAAAAAAGGGTCTGCTTCATTGCTGGGCAATTGTGTCATGAATACTTTTCCAATATTGTTCCTACCCCCCCCCCCCCCCCATGTCCCTACTCACTCTAATTTATAGAACTTGTATTATCGTTCCTAGCGTTTGTGGATAACTTGGCCCACAATATTTGGCATACATGTAGTCAAAGTAGTTAATGGGTATGACTCACAAAGTCCCAGAGCACAATACCCTTCATCAACCTTCAAAGTTTAAAAACTTTGCTTAAATTATACTTACTGGTCTTAATTCAGTGACATCCCAGCCTAGATACTCAGCTACATGCATCATCTGGTTTACTATACAATCCAGCTCCTGTACACAAAATCAAAAGGAAAATAAAGGGGATGCTGTTTAATGGTATGTCACAAGTAATGACAATAATACTTTCATTTTCTTCATTATATTAGGCAGTTTTTAACTGCAATTTGTGTATCACTTATCATGCTTCAGAGAAGGCTGATTAATTAAAATAAATGTCTGTTTTCTAATGTAAAGTTTGATTCAAGTGAAATATGAATAAAATGATTTAATAATAATAATATTGGATTCTTATATAACGCAAACAAAGAGAGAGAGAGAAAGACATTATATTTGGAGAGAGAGAGAGAGAGAGAGAGAGAGAGAGAGAGAGAGAAAGATAGAGAGAGGATAGAAGTCAAAAATCAAAACTATAATAAGTGTCTAAAACAAACAGAAGAAGAACTTTAAAATCTCATAACTCCTTCAACTTACACTGCTGTCAAGGATACCATTGTCATCTGTGTCATAAAGCCTGAACATGACTGTAGAAAGAAAACAATAAAGAGAGACAAATAATTATTACCATTATTCAATGTTTGATTGATTTAAATGCCTTGGAACATATTGACAGATAATCAAAGCAATATCTCTTACATTTTTAATGCATGCCTTTAATGGGTTTTGACGCTGTAAAAATACTTTGCTGAACTGTATGCACTATAAAATTCATGACCTGCTGACTTTTTTAAGGCACGTTCACAGTTAAACAAAAACAACATTCATCTCCACTCTTCCACATATATTTTACTTTTAGACTAGAATAACACGTTTGGCATAACATGAGAGGGTGGGGGGAGAAAGACAACCAACAAACCCGTCGAAGGCAACATGACCTAATTTACAGATATTTTTGTTCCTGCATATTTTCCGTTTTTGGAATTAAGAAAGCCATTCAAGCTTTGATATGTAATCCTAAATTAAAAACAACATACTTTAGCCTTCTCTCATGTTTCAGTGCTGATTGCAGTTCTATCATTTGTTTACCGTAAACATTCTATTTTTGTCTTTTTTATTGCAAATATTTAGTTTTGATGAGACTATACTTCTCCTTACATCTAATGAAGAGCTCTACTCTTCTTACTACAATCATTGGTAACCACAACAACTTAACCTCCTTCCTCTATCTCCTAATCTTTCTTTCATTTAGATACATGTTTCATAAAACTGTTTTAAATCTTCATGATGTCCAGTAATTCTCCCTCCCAGTCACAAACCTAAAACAGCTTTCTTTCGGTTTTCCCAAGATAATTTAAAGGCTGTACATGGCAGCCTTCAACTTTTTCTATGGATACCCTTAAAGGGATTGTTTAACAATGTTAAATCAGAGATACACGGTCCTTCATGTTACCAGTGTCTGTGATATGGTGTAATATTGAAGCCCTAAAAAAAAAAAAATCAAGCTTCAAAATGATCAAGAAGTGCCTCAAAAAAATAAAAATCTTTGAGTAACAGGTTTTACCATACTCGTTTTCCCCAATAGACTGTAGTGTTATGAAAACCATTCAGTGAACGGTTTTTAAAAATTTGTAATTCCAATCATTAATATCTTGATAATCAGACAGGCGATTGGCTTGTAAAAGTCATGGAGTTCCTGACTGACCTAAAGGTTTATAATATAGTATTAATGACTGCTTTGAGAGAAATAGTTGTTTTATTACGCTCAAGGGAAGGTTAGAATTGTGCTATTCCCCGAGGCTTGCCGAGGGGAATAGCCCAATTGTAACCTCCCGAGAGCGTATGAAAACAACTATTTCTCGAATATTAAAGCAGTCATTAATACTTTTATATGCCGAAAAAAAATAGACTAAAAAATAAAAATAAAAAATAATTTACATTTTTGTCAAAGACGGGATTCGAACTCTTGCGTACAACAAGAGGTGTATCGAAAACCAACGCTTAGACCACTCGGCTATCGCGCGCCGTTAACATGCATGGCAGTTTTTTCCAATATATATACATTAAAATGGATTGAAAACGGCTCCGCGTGAGGGATGCTTCGCAAAAGCTCCATGAAACGGACCCTTCTTTTACTTTTGCAATGCATATTGGCACGAACTTAGATCAAGATCTATCGGCAGATGTTGTTTTTTTTTTGTTTTTGAGAGTTTATTTTCGTCTTCATGTCAACAATGCAAGATAAAATTGTCGGTAAGATCGATTGAGATTCAATTGTATTGAAATTGCCGACCAATTTTTCGCACACGTATGGTATCCTCCATCGCTCAAACCATTTTTTAACATGTAAACCTATGGGGTAACCATGGAGACTGACCTATTTTTTTAATAACCATGGTTATTAAAAATATTGAAATGTTTTAAGCATGGTTACCGGGAATTTTACAGGAACAGTTGAAGTTTATGAATGCAATTCGACCAATCAGATGGCTGGATTTCTTAAGTGAGGTATATAATTATCATTACAGCATGAGCTAAATCAAGGATTATTTCAAAAGGATCTAAGACAAAGTTAACAAATCCCTTTAATAGTCCCACTCTCATTTGTCTCCTGCTTTCTACTATAGGACTAGCCCACACAGCACCATGGCACGCAAATAGGGGGGGGGGATAAAAGACAAGAAAAAAATAGTGAGATATGATGAGCTAATCTGATGCAGATGCCCTGGGTTTTGATAGCTAAATTCCAGGCAGGTCACCGCTGAGGAAAGACTCATACCAGCCACATCCAAAAGGGAGAGGAGAAAATGATTGGAACAAGCGAGAGAAAGTAAGACAGAAAGACGGGAGAAAGTAAGACAGAAAGACGGGAGCAAGGAAGAAACTGTGATTGTTTTCCAGCTAAAGACCACCGATGTCTGGGAAACAGTGCGGAGATGATGGCGGTATCAAGAGATGATTATTGAGGAATTTAGTAAAGAGGAAGAAATGGATTTAAGCTATTAAGGATAATGGATATGGCTTTATTGAATTCATCAACCAATGTGATAAGATTTTCAGGATATAAAATTTATGATGGAAAAGATAATATGTGATAAAAGAATGACTATTATTTGCTATAGTGACTAAATGCTTTTTGATGCCTTGAAGCAAAATGCGTCAAAATATGCACTAAAAGTGGATTAAATGTGGAGGGTGGGGGGGGGGGGGTGAGGTCAATGTCATATTTCAGAATCTTGTTCAAATACTCCATAGGTAATGTTATTGGATGGGCGTGGGTGGGTGGGTTTTAATTTTTTTTGCTGGCACCCAGTAAATAAAGATCGCGTGCTCGACAAGCAGTAGATGGCAGGTTCAAATCTTGCTGATTTTTTCTGACTTGTTTTCAATTTCAAGATCGAGCACGCAATCTTTATTTACTGGTAGCACCCCCCCCCCCTTTTTCAATGTTTCATAATGTTTGTGTAATCTGCTCAACTGCATGCTCAGCCCCCTTTCAAACAAACCCTAGCCCGTGAATGACTTTAATGCTCATGTACTGCCACAAATATTCCTTCCAAACCCCTTCACTCTCTACATATTAAGTCAATACATTTAACAAGTGATTCAAAAGACAAATCTTAACAGTACCCATGTAGCTTCAATTTCCTTAAAGTATGTTACATGGCCAACACAGATATTGACTTTAATTTTCTTGGCGTCCAAGCCGGGCTAAATCAAATAAATAGATGCCGGTTCCTCCAAAAACAATTGCATAGGGAAGCAGTATGGATGCACGGTGGATATACTTAAGGGTGATGGATGTTCAAAAATAGATTGATGAGAAGGTTTACTATTGATTTTTATTTATCTCTCACTACTTCGGTCTCTCTGTCTCTGTCTCTCTGTCTCTCTGTCTCTCTGTCTGTCTGTATGTCTCTCTCTCTCTACGTCTCTCTCTCTCTATGTCTCTCTCTCTCTCTCTTTCTCTGTCTCTCTGTCTGTATGTCTGTGTGTCTCTCTCTCTCTAAGGCTGCGTTCATGCTTAAATTTTGAAGGCAGAATGAGCGATCTGAAACGCTCATCGTAAACGCTCATCGTGATCGCAGTTCAACGATGTAGTGTTCATGCTTACTTCTCCAGGCAATTCTCCTTGGGTGGCCTTCAGCTGGATTCGCAAACCTGTGTGCGCATGCTACGTAGACCCACTAGAGGTCAGTGCGTTGACCCCATTTAAACGCGTTTACAAATTGTAAACGCATCTTTTTGTGAGTTTACGATCGGCGATCGTGATCGCCGTTTTTCGGTGATTCTACAAAAGTGAGCATGAACGCAAGCGTGTTTTAAACTAAACGCGTAACAGATGCCTGATTCTGGCCGTCAAAATCAAGCATGAACGCGCCCTAAGTCTCTCTCTCTCTCTTTCTCTTTCTCTTTCTCTTATTCTGTCTACCCTAGCATCTACATTTGTGACCTACATTTGGGCCACCAATTATATATCAAAAGGTCTACTGCAAATTTAACTCTCTAAAGATTTTGAGCAAATGAGGGGATTTGATGAATGGTACACAATACATCAATGCATTTTTCAAACTATTTTTGATCATTCCTTTTTTACTCTGTAAACACAAAAATAAATATGTTAAAAGGGAATATCAAAAAAGTTCTTACATATTAAGAGAAAATTAATCAAATATGCTTCAGATCCCAGAGATAGCTTTACATATTTTTCAAAAATAGTTCCTCATGCTTAAAATCTCTTTAATTAAAAAACAAACAAACTATTAATCTCATTAAAACAATCACAAATAGCTCTGAAAAACAACCAGTAAGCATATCTATCTGGAGTGCTAAATGGGCCTCCCTACCACTCTGCAATCTTTTGTTTTAAAGAAATGGGTGATCCAAGAGAAAACAGGTATTTACACAACTTGAAAGCTGCTATGCTCTAAATACCTAAGGAAACTTCATTATGGGTCTATTTCTGATATCATCCTACTTCTTTATTGCTATATTTGGCTCCTCTATTGACCAATTCCAATCTCTCCCGAAAAGGTAAACAAAAGGGACAAGGCATCGATGATTGGTGGATAAATTGAAGAGAAGGAATGTGAAAACAAGATTGACGACATGCCCTGCTTTTTGCAGCAGCGTTGTGTAGGTGTGACGTATGGAGCGTCGCGCTTCAATCAAGGCTGGCGGATTTGTCGGGACTTAAGCGGACTGAAAATCGAGTCAATGTTGGATAGCATTACATCGGGCTGGATTTGGGTGGTGGGCTAATTTTGCTGTCATCAGCGTAATGAGGGGAGGAGATTGAGAAGAAGGTACGGCAAGAACAGGGAAGATGGAGGAGCTGATTAGGTTGGCAGAGATGTGGACATGTGTGTGAGGGAGGGAGTGAGGGAGGGGGAGAGAAAGAGAGAGTGGGGGTGGACAAGAGAGGTGATGGTAGATCAGTGTCTCTTGCAAGAGAAAGTGAAACAGAGACAGAAAGATGGAAGGATTGAGATGAAGAGAGATAATGGGAAATGGAGGGGAAAAACAGGCAAATGTGAAATATGAAGAGGGAGAGAGGGAGGGGTTGTTGGTGTGGGGGAGGATGGGAGAGAGAGAGAGAGAGAGAGAGAGAGAGAGAGAGAGAGAGAGAGAGAGTTGGACAGTGAGAAGATTAAGGCAGTTTATAATTGGAAGGGATGTGCACATTTATCAGTCAATTGGAGAGAGAGAGGGAGGGAGAGAGAGAGAGAGAGAGAGAGAAAGCATATAAAGCAAAAGAAGATTATTAGAGAGAGAAGGGAGGGGTAAGGTGAGGGACAAATAAAGAAAAAGTGAAGTAGATAGAGAGGAAAAAAAAAAAGAAAACACTTGGACAGAAATCAAAAGAACACAGAAAGCAAAAGAGAGAGAGAGAGAGAGAAAGAAAGAGAGAGAGAGAGAGAGAAAGAGAGAGAGAGAGAGAAAAGAGAGAGAGAGAGAGAAAGAAAGAGAGAGAGAGAGAGAGAGAGAGAGAGAGATGGAGGAAGGGACAGATGGTGACAGAAGGGAGACATAGCAGAAGAAAACCAAATAAACAAGATGAAGGTGACAGATGTGAGACAGGAATTAAACAATGGTAAATTAAACTAAAACAGGGGATGTAATGGATGATAAACAGAGATGATGAAATTCAAGAAATAATAAACAAAGACATCATCCAATGAAAAAAAGGCAGAGACAAATGTCAGGAAAATTGGATCAAAGAAATAAGATGGAAATGGAAAGAGCGAAGATATGTTAAACACTATGCATGATGAAGGAGAAAATATAATGAGAAAAGAGACCGAGATTCCGTCACATGCACAGCTAGCTTTTATGAAGTTGCAATTGTAGCATGCAGTGTGAACCGTGTAGTTATCTGCTAAGAGCCAAAAGGTAGGGCCTCATAATTTTTACATCTTTCTTGCTCCTGGAAAACAAATTATGAATATTAAAGCAATTCTACAGAGATTGCTAAAAAATATAAATATTGATCTCTTCCAGTCTGGGTGCAGAATGTCAGAACTATTTTGAAGGAAAACAAAGCACACTTAAAACCACTTTAACAATTCCTTTGTGGAATAGTAACGACTGACTGTCTTTTTCTCCTTGCCAAAGACGATAAGTATACATTCTAAAATATCTCTTTTGGCTCAATTATCTTGGAATGTCTACTCTGCTAATGGGGGACTCAGAATTAAAGTAGTGAACTCACATTCTAATTTATCCTCTGGTTTGCCGCCCTCTAGCAACGACAAGTAGCAGACGATGTCTTTCATGTAGACGACCTGGTTGGTGACATCTGGATGTGCGAGTGACCCCCGGGAGGCGGCCAATGCCCCTAGTGAGTCCGTGTCTTTGGTATTCTTTTTAGTCTTGCGCAGGGCGGTGAAGAGTGCTGTCTTTTTCCGCCTATTGTTCTCCATGGATTTCCCTGCAAAAGTTTTAGGGAGAAATGCAAAAACGTTTTATGTCAGAAATATGAAATCATTTGGAAAATACAAATATATTGAAAATCAAAAAATCTAAACTCAAAGCAAAGGAAAAACTGAGCAAAAGGCATCTTGATGACCACATTATGAATACTCTTGCTATTTCCAAAACATGCTACAAATTTGTCTACAAATGCCCATTAAAGTCTTTACATCAAAGTGCTACTTGCGTTTTCCTTTGAGCCAATTCCCTTTTGTTCAACAGTTAACACTAAATATCTTATACTATTGAATTGGACTAAATCCCATCACTTTTTCTATCTTCGATTTCTACAACTACATGTAATAAACACAATGCCCTCTGACCTTTCTTGATATCTCCATGATCATTAGTGGTTTGTTCGACCCTGAGTGCATCGGTGCGAATGGAATGACTTGAAGGGGTTCCGTTAGAGGCATTGGACTTCTTGGATGAACTCCGTGACTGGGTGGGGCTCCCTCTTGTGACAACCCCTGACTCCTGCCCATGACCTGGAAGAAAACAACAAAAATGTTGAGACATTTTAAACTAGAACCATGAATAAAAAATGTGCCCCCTGAAATCAAACAGTTGTATTATTTGTTCATACACAATCTTATCTTCTGTTGAGAGCTAAAAGGGCATCCTTCTGTCCCTTGATGCAGAGATAGAGGGGGTAAAAATCTTTTTCATTTCTCCACCATCAAAAAGAGGTTAGGTGAGACCACACAACTTCAATCTCAAAGTTAATGCAAAACTTTGGGCAGAATATGTCCAAAACAAACTTCATACCAAATGCAGCAAAATGAAGAAGAAAAAAGAATAGCCCCTGTTCCTATTGCCATATTACACACTCAGGATGAATTCTTCAATACATGTACGTGGCTAACATGATAAAAACAGACAATTAAGCATATTCATCAAATTAATAATAAAAGCAAATTCTATTTTTACATGACAAACCCTTCTTTGAACTTCTCTAAGCCATGACAATTCATTCATTTAACATAGAGGATATGTCTACTCTTTCCTTATCTTCCATACTCCATCCTATATGCACCAACCTTTCTAAATCCAAATGGATGACATTTAAAGGGTTAAGGGATATAGAGAGGAGGGTATGTCTTATTATTGTGTTCTTTCTGGCTTTGTTCAAACATGACACAGTAAACTGCTTCCTCAGATATACAGCCATGGAAGAAAAAGAAATTATGTGTAAAATGGCAACTAAGTGGGAGTGAACAAACAGTAGTTGTACACAGAGAAAGAGAGAGAGAAAGAAAGAGAGAGAGAAAGAAAGAGAGAGAAAGAGAGAGAGAAAGAAAGAGAGAGAGAAAGAAAGAGAGAGAGAGAGAAAGAAAGAGAGAGAAAGAGAGAGAGAGAGAGAAAGAGAAAGAGAGAAAGATTGGGGAGAGATGGAGATGAGGGGAGAGAAACAAGAATTATACCCCTCTGCTGTCTGCATAAGATATGAACTTGTTTCTTATCATCACATAAATGTACTCATTTCCATATGTGATATGTAAATGTTAAACGCACTGCACATATATCACTTGTTGGTCACAAGAGAGTGGAAGAGAAACAAGAATAAATGTAAAACACACTAAACTTATCTCATTTGTTGGTGATTGAAACACTTCTGAAGAGCAACAAAAACATTCATGCTAATCATAGAAAGGGCTTTGTTGACCTTCCTTATACAGGTCACTTGTGGCATTATTTTGCAGACAAATCTTATTCAAATTTATCATTATTATATGTTCATATTATTTTGCTGACGTGGTCTCTTTGAAGTGGTCTACCTGGTCACATGTGAACATGGCATCACTCTCCTCCAATCTTCCATCAAGGCTCTCAGGCAAAGCTGATGCCAGCCATCAAGAAGGACCAATATTACACACTCCTACCCGACACTCAAATTTGGTGAGCTTGGATTTAGGAGGCAGGGAGGCAGCGCTACCCATTGCGTGGGCTGTTACTGGCTTGGCCATCAGAGTACCATGTCCACGGCCCGTGCAGTGATTGACTAAATGCCCCCCTACCAAACGCCTGGTTGTCATCAATGTCCTCGACGATGCAAGAGCGTACTAGGAGGAGATAATGGACTTTAAAGATAAAGTTGGGTAGTGGTCATGTGATTGCATTATGAAACGCTATTGAGAAGGCTTGATCAGGTAGTACGTAAGAATAATTGTTTCTCATGAGTTTATGGAATCATCAAAATAATAACAGATTTGTTTAGTCTTGCCTGAAATCACATACAGTGAAAAGCATTGCACACGGATATGGGTAGCTGGGACTACATGCACTTTTACCATCAAATTTCAGACCTTATTTGTCAACATATAATTTTTTTAATCACTATGATATTCCGAGAGCACTCCTTTTAATGTAACATTACCACTTTGATATTATCCTAAACAGAAATAGAGAGATGGAGAGAGCTCAAGACCTATATTTTTTGTTTACCAAAACTCAAATTCTTCTTTAAATTCAAATTTACGGTAAAGTGATCAAGCCTAGTGAATGGAGGCTGCATCCTAAATGGTTTTAATGGATAGATAGATGGAGTTCTCCCATTTATTCTATGAATGGAGTAGATAATAAATTACATCCTATTCTGTCCTATACAACTACAGGATTTATGGAACACATCACTTCTTAATGCTTTAGAACGAGATACAGTTTCTTCAATCGTATACCTGGTACCCTTTTTAAACTGAAAATTCTATCTGGAAACCAATATATATAATGCATCTTCAAATGAACATTTTTACCAATCCACAAGCACTCGTAACATGAACACAAGGAACAGAGAGTGTCTTTTATGGCACATGATTAATGCAGCTGTATCTAATGTCCCATCCAACTGTTAATGTAGCCTTGCACCTTCCAAGGTGAAAACTACCATTTAAACAATGAAATAACATGAAAATATAGAATATTTATTTTAAAAATTGAATGCGTAAGGAAATGTATTGGGAATTTTAAAGCTAAGTGATGGAAATTGTCTACAGATGATTTGCCCCTCTTTTTTCTACAATCGTTTACTTTTTGCTTGTCAGACAGTTTAGGATAAAAAGGTTCACCTCAGCATTCAACATCCCCCCCCCCCCCCCATGTAAAAAACAAAACAAACTTGTTTGGGCCTGCAATATATTGCACGATTCATAATTAGAGTTTTGAGAATTATAACAATGCTTCTAACTTGATTGTGTGTTTATTGTATCAACATCCATGATCACTAAATCTAGGGCTTAGGCTTTGTTTTATATAAATGTTGCATTTATTTAAAACTAAGCAAAATCAATTAATCAAGTAAATAAATTGTGTCACATGTACCTACACGAAGACATACATGTACGTGATAAGAAAAGCAAAACTAAGGGGTTCTCAAAATTGATTAAATAATGTATAATGATTATTGTGGGGAAATGAGTGAGAAAGAGGATAACGCAAGATAGAGATGGTGAGAGGTGAGGGAGAGAGAGAGAGAAAGATGTAAAGACAAGAAAACTTAAGAGTAGAGAAAATAAAAGAGATGAAGACACCGAAATGAGGAAATTGAAAGAAAAATCTGGCAAAGAGGTTGCATAAGGTGTAAAAGCAATGTACGTCACCTTATTTAATTTGACAACTGATGAATGCAAACGTAGATTACATCGAATTATAGATCTCTTTTTTTATTGTCACAGAACCCTTTTAAGGAATCAAAAGTTCCATGTCACCCTAACTGCAAATTCATTATTTTGAAACACCCTGGCACTCATCAAATGCCATGTAAACATACGGACACATATGTTTTTAAAATTTGAGAGAGTAAGCAAAGTGAGTGGGCCAAAAATGACATTTCATATGTAGTTTAGAATACCATGAATTGCACCGCTAATCGATATTACAATAATGTAGGCGGTATATTGACTCATCAATGATATTTTAATCAAACATATATGGTTTGCTGAAAGCGAGTAGGTATTGATTTACATACTTTTACACAGAGTTTGATAAAGCTTTCTAGCTCTCAGTACAATATATTCCAATAAAGATAAGCATTGCGCCTACATATTTTCTGAATTCTCCCTCTTTTTTGTTAATTTGACTGCTTACGATGCAAGCTACATGCCACAATGTGCCTCTTAGCCCCTGGTACGCATGTGAGCAGACTGGAATTCTCAATTCCTCAATACAAATGTTACATGCGAACATTGAGCTGAGCAGGAAGGCTCTACAGGAGAAGAGATGAATTGAAAAAGAAGAAAGAAGACAAAAAAAGAAGACAAAAAAGGAAGACAAAAAAGGAAGACATGAAACAGTAGGATCGTATAGGGATGAATAAGGGGAGAGATAAAGAGAGGGAAAGTGAAAGAGAGAGTGAGAGAGTGAAGGGATATACAGAAATGAAGAGACATGGATGGAAACAGGGCAAAAAGAAATTTCAAAACTTGAAGAAGTTTATAAATCATTTAATAAATTGTAATTTGTTCATCAGAAAAATCAATTTAAAAAGGGGAACAGAAGGAATAGAAGCAGACATTTCTTATCGACAACCCAAAAGAGAAAACATCTACCTACGTGACTAACAAAAATTAATCATATTTGTTATCCCGGTCGGTTTTGAGAAAAGAACAAGAAAAGTCTCTCATTCTTTAGTAATTTCATTAATTCTTATAAAGTCTTATATCTCACTCATGATGTTGTGTGTGGTATGTTTAGAGCCAGAAGGGCATTAAGACTGTGTTAAAGTATATGAGCTAATGCCCGTTTGGCTCCAAACAGAAGAATAATACGCCTTATTTCTATTGGTGTGGTAAGAAGAGATAAGGTTAAGGAGGCTTGTGGTTATGTTGACGTCATAATTATCATCTCTCTGTGGCATGCCACAAGAGAGTGAACCTGCTATAGATAACAGAATATATTATAATATACTCTTAGTGAATTAATCAAAGTCAAAAAAGAAATGACAAATACCAAATGGATTTGATGAGAGACTTTACCACAATATGAAAGTTAAGATTAATAGTAAATTAGGGATTCTACCTTTAAGTCAATACAGAAAAGTTTGTTTCTTCATAATTATGTACATCTTTTATTGAATTTCATGATTGGCATTCATTTTCATTTCATTTCATTTCATTTTCATTTCTTTATTGTGTCCATAAAGGATAATTGTTTATACGCACATGAACAATCTTGCTTCAACATAAGAACATAGGAACAACATATAATTGACATTCATAGGGCCCTGTTTTAGTATACATTTGATATAATATACATGGTCATGATGAATATACATTTAAATACTCTTTCTTCTTCTTCTTCTTCTTCTCTCTTTCTTCTTACATACCCTCCATTTTTTAAAAATTCTTATGTGCTCTAATATGAAGTAGGTATTTTGTGTTAAAAATTATTTCTTGATATGGTATAACAGTAGGGGTACAACAGTAAAGTAAGTATACTAAAACAATATATATATTCGTGTAACATGTCAATGAGGGTATTTTGCATGGTTTTC